TTACCGATTTAAATAATAAAGTGTTTGTTAGTACCGATTTAAATAATAAAGTGTTTATTATTACCGGTTTAAATAATAAAGTGTTTATTATTACCGGTTTAAATAATAAAGTGTTTATTATTATAAGGTTTTTATTGTAAATAAATGTATTTTATTTTTTAAAGAAATTAATAAAGTTTTCCAAAAAAAATTTTTTTTTTCTTGTCAGGACCTTGGCGATGAGATTGACTGTGACGTTCCCACTTGTGGAGAGTGGTTGAGGAACTTCTACGGTTCCTTCAGCTCTCCAAACTACCCTGATTTTTACCCTCCAGGAAGCAACTGCACGTGGCTGATTGACACCGGGGACCACCGAAAGGTAACCCCAGACCTTTCCAGCTCAAACCAGCATCACGTTTACAGCAGCCCTCCTACCGCCTCCTAAACTAATAGCTTCATCTTCCTCCCTGAATCATCCTCTCGCAGGTTATCCTGAGGTTTACGGACTTTAAGCTCGACGGGACGGGTTACGGCGATTATGTTAAAGTTTACGACGGTCTCGAGGAAAACCCTCGGCGCCTCCTCAGGGTGCTGACTGCTTTTGACTCCAGGGCTCCGGTCGCTGTGGTTTCATCTTCTGGTCAGCTCAGAGTCCACTTCTACGCTGACAAGATCAACGCTGCCAGAGGATTCAATGTCACTTATCAGGTGAGTTGCTCTCATGTTCTAAAACGTCGACGTTGATAAACTTTCTTTAACCTCTTAAGCCCCAAGGGGTTTTCTTGAAGTTTGTGTTCAAAAAAGCATGCCCAGATGTAACTGGGTGTATCTCAGCACCTAAAAATACCATTTAAATACCCTTGATATCAAAATAAAGCTAACACTGGGGAGATTACATCAGGAGTGTAAGTATCACATCATATGCTTTTGTTTCAGAAATACTGAGGATGGAACACAGAAAAAAAATTCCCCTTGCCTGAAGTTTTTCTGCATTATACAGTATAGAACCTTTTCAAAAGTGTAATGAATACGGCTAAAAACTCTTGGAAACCATAAATCCACTTATGGACATTACCTGTGCAGTGTTTCCACTAGGAAATTGCTCTTTGGGGGGGTGGGGGAGGGGTAACTTGTTTTATGAAAACATAAACTTACGCGACTCACCTTCAATTTATGGTAATAAATTTACACATACATTAGGGCTGTGTATTGGCAAGAATTTGGCGATACGATACATATCATGACAGAGGGGTCATGATACGATATATCCC